TTTAGTAAAGACAGGGTTTCACTATGTTGGCCAGGATGGTCTCCATCTCTTGACTTCATGATCCATCTGCCTCCGCCTCCCAAAGTGCTGCAATTACCGGTGAATGTGATATTGGTGTGCTTGATCACATGGTACTATTTCATATCCCATTGGGGGTATTAGGTAATTGACAGTACATATGCAGTATTGCCTTTCCATAATAAAAAGAAATCTGAGTTCTGAAATATATTTGCATCCAAACCTGCCAGATAAGGGACTGCAGATCTGGATTTCCTCTTCTTTTAAAGGTGATTTTCTACTATGCCTTTAAGAAAAATATATTGGCCAGGCACAGTGGCTCACGCCTGTAATCCCAGCACTTTGGGAGGCCGAGGCAGGTGGATCATGAGGTCAAGAGATCGAGACCATGCTGATCAACATGGTGAAACCTCGTCTCTACTAAAAATACAAAAAAAATTAGTTGGGCATGGTGGTGCACGCCTGTAATCCCAGCTACTCAGGAGGCTGAGGCAGGAGAATTGCTTGAATCCAGGAGGTGGAGGTTGTGGTGAGCTGAGATCTTGCCATTGCACTCCAACCTGGGTAACAAGAGCGAAACTCTGTCTCAAAAAAAAAAAAGAAAAAAAGAAAAATATATTATCTTTCTCTCTCTCTCTCTCTCTCTCTCTCTCTCTCTCTCACACACACACACACACACCAATTAAGATATAATTTCTTTGTGAGTGTAAGACATTGTATACTTTCCATACCTTTTCTCTAATTCTCACCAAAAAAGTAGCTGTTATTATTCCCAGTTAAAAAATACAAAAACTAAAACAAAAAAGGCTTAACTATTACTTTGCCCAACCACTAACACAAGCTATCAAATAATATTCTCATTTCTAAGGTTTTTAAATTTTCAACATTCTGCCCATAATTGGTTTCAGATTCATGCAGAACTGCTTTTTAAAGTAGACCCATTTATTTCACAGAGAGTGACCAAGGTACAGTTCATTTTAACAGACTGCATCATTTTTTAAAAAAATCTGTCTATACAGACCTCCACAAAAGAACCTGACAAAATAGAAAAACAAATTATTTTACCAGCTAATTAAAACAAAAGCTTTTTATGATAGCTGAAACAGAGGAAGATGAAGCTAAGAAAAAGAAGCAGGTGCAATATAGCATGAGACTAATACTCCTACATTTAATTAACTGGAAGTTTTTCTTTCTTATTAGTATTGATAATCAAATTTATAGGGAAAAAGAAAAGTCCTGACAATTGTGTCCCCATTTCAATGCACAAGATTTAAAAGAAGAAACTTCCTTTTGTAAATCTGACCTTCTTACAGAGCTATGTACATGTTCTTGTAAGAAGCTTGAATATAGGAAATTTCAAATGTATTGCATATACTTTACATATAAAAGCATGCTTAAGATATCTTAAGTATCCATTCATTCCTCCAAGAAATCCTCAAAATCTACCTCATATAGAGACCAGTCCCATGATACACAGTTCAGGTAACAATTCTACATTCTCTAAAACTTAACGTCTGCCTTTCTTCTGATAGCAAAGCAGTGAAAAACCAATGAAGAAAAAATAGAATTTCTTATATGTTTACACAGTTGCTTTTATATGTAAAGTATATGTAATAAATTTGAATTTTTTTTATATTCAAGCTTCAAGTGAACTAAGGACATAACATTTATTGGACACTTCAAGTATATTATTTCTAATATTCACAATTATCCTGCAAATATCATCCCAATTTTATAAATGAGGAAACTGAAGATTAGTAAACTTGAGTCCAAGGTTCATATCTAATAAGTCACAGAAGTAGGGTTTATACAAGCATCTAAGCACAGTTCCTTCCATTTCACCTTGCTAGAATATACTTAGCTTAGAATATTTCCTGTAAGGCAGGAATTTTCATCATGGCTATGATTTCTTCAGAATGTGGTATGTTGTAACACAAACAGAAAGCCAAATCATGAATCTGGATAATAAATTGTCAAAAAAAACTAATCTTCTACTAATTATTTGCAGATCTTAATCAAGTTGTCAACTTCTCTGTGCTAAAACTTCTCCACATATAAAATATAGGGAATAACTTAGAGAGTTGGTATGAGACTGAAGTAAAATGTATAAAGCACTTAGTACAATGTGTGATACAAAATAAACACTTCATAAATGTTAGCTATTTCAAGTGAGATGAGAAATTACCAGATGGCCATATTTTGTACCAAGTGACTCCAGCCAGCAATAGCTGGATACCTAACCCAAAAACAGTCAATCCTGACACTGGACTATGATTTAGTGGTAAAAGATGATGAGAGTCAGTAAAACTTCTCTCTCTTGGAAATTTGAATTAAAGAGACTGAGGCATTTATTTGCCTAAATGGCCTAGCTTTTCACCATCATCCATTTCCTACCATCAATGTTATCAATGACCTCTCTGTTGCTAAATCCAGTTTTTTAGCCTTCATTTTGCATTGCTTGACAGCATTCAGTCTATTGAGTATTCCATTTATCTTGAAACATTCCTTTGGTTGTACTCTGATCTCTTCAGTCTCTTTGAAAGGCACTGAAATATTGCAGCTACTAAATACTTCATCCCAGGCCTCTTCTCCCTCTAGGCAATTTCATCCACACCCATGGCTTAAGTAATTATTTCTATGTCAAAATAATTATCTCTATGCCAGTTTAGACTTTTCTTGTAAATTCAACTGCCTTGTCAATCTCTCTGCTTATTTGGATGTCCTAAAGATAACTCAGTCTCCATACATTTAAAACCAAATTCATGATCTTTTCTCTCACACCTAGCCAAGGCCCCTTCCAATGCTCCCTAACCCAGTAAAGGCACCACTAACTATCCAGTTGCACAATTAGAACATGAGACGTCTTTGATACTTCCTTCTCCATCAACCTCATATTTCACTAAGTCCTATTAATTTTATCTCCTAAGTATTTCTCAATTCCTTCTCTCCATATCCTCAGCTACCTTCTAAGGTCTCTCTATATGCACTCTTGTATCCTCTGTACTCTCCACATTGTAGCCAGAGTTACTTTTTAATTATTCTAATCATGGCATGCTCCCATTTAAAAGCCTTCAGTGGCTTCCCATTATTCTTAGGATTTCTGGCCCAAATTCATATCATAGTTTACAAAGTACTGGAAGATGTGGCTTCAGCCTACCTCTTCTCTCTTCCCATTGCCCCACATGTACCCACATTTCTCTCCTTTCAGTTCCTTAAACACAGCATATCAGTTTCCACCTGTCTTGGGGTCTTTGCACATGGTTTTTCTGCTGTCTGGATCTCTCTTTGCCCTCTTCTTCAATTATCCAAACTCTATCATATCTCAGCAAAAATATCACTTCTAGACAATATCAGTAATTCAGTTATTCATTTAAGAAATATTTATTGAGAACATACTATACTTAGAACAATTCTAGACATGTGGTGTTGATAAAACAATGCCCTTGTAGAGCTTACATTGTAGTGGAAGGAGACAGGTAATATGCAAAAAAGTTAGTAAATTAAGTAATATGTTCAAAGGCAATAAATGCTAAGAGAAAAAAGAGAAAAGAAGAACAAGGAAAGCTAATACAAAGCAGGGAATTTCCAGTGCCTAATTTATTGCCTGGCATATAGCTAACACTCAATAAATATTTGCTGAGTGGATGAATGAATAAAGGAATGAGCATGTTCAAGTTATGAGGGAGCTAAAACTACAAGTAGAGGAGCTACTCAGTAAAACAGAGATGCCACGAAAGAAAGGTAAATAATGAGGTCTTGAGAGTTATTGGTTCCTTGAACCATTTCTGATGGTGTCATAGTTTTCAGTTCCAGTTTCTGGGGTGTGTATATGCTATAAACACACACACACACACACACACACACACACACACACACACACCTCAGGACTGAAATAATTCAAGTGGATTCTCTTGTAATGACAATACCTGATCAGGACACATATACAAGGTTATGTATACCACTGCCACCACCCATCACACACATACCCCCAAATCACTGCTTTTCCACCCACACACCCATATAATCCCATGACATCCAGTTCTTCAGTGGTCTGCCTCATTTAGAGGCAACTCCCTCCCGTATACTCAAAACTGTAAAAACCTTTGCTTTCTTCTATGACCCTGTAAGGCACCTAAAGCCAGTATGTCACAAAGCCCAGCCATATGCACAAGGGGTCCCCTCAGGAATACGATTTTGGGTCTCCCTTCCTGTCAGTCTCCCTGTCCCTTAAAGACTATCTTCCACCCACAGAACTGTGGACATGTACTCCTTTGTGATTCTGAATGACCTTCAAGATCACTGATCCCACATACACTCACACTCAGGCTTCAGCCTCCTTTAGTAGGCACCTAAAGGACTGGGGCTCTGAGTGTCCCCTCAAGGCCTCTTGTCTTTTTAAGGACTCATACAAGATTATTTACATAAATTTCTCTGTGACCAGGGGTGACCCTGAGGACACTGCACATCCCCAAACACAAATACTCTAACTCCCCCTTCCATGGCACTGTCTGATATTAAAGTAACACACCTTCCACGTATAGCTCCCTTTTTAGAGCCAGAGCCTCCTACTCCCACCCCCAGCCCAAATCATGCCCCTTTTAGGGATCTCTCCCATGCTCCCACAGAGCTGTGTACACCCTTTCCATGACACAGCCTAGCCCTAGGATTAGCCTTCACCACAGGTGATCCCAAGATTAGGGTCCTGGGTCTTCCCTCGGGTCCCAGCCCCTACCAGGCCCATGCTCCCTCAGAAGTCTGCACACTCCCTCACACTCCCGTCCACCACCTGGACTTCAAGGTCCCTGACCGCCATTCAGAGGGGTACACGCCTCCCTTGACCCCTGACCCTGAGGTCATAACCCACCGCGCATATATACAGGGGCGCCTCTTCAGGAGTAGGGCCATGCCAGAGTCCCCTATCCCTTGAGGCCCAGGACAGCCTGACCGCCTCAGCCTTCCCCAGATCAACCGCCCCCACAGACCTGCCTCAGGCGCCGTCTGGCTTCGCTCCGCCATTTTTGTTGTCCCTCAGTCTCGGAGCCCACGTGAAAACAGCGGGGCAGTAGGGAGCGGGTGGTGGGATCAGCCGGCTGACAGGAGCTCCCTCAGGAAGACGCGGCACGACGGTTGCCAGGGCAACGGGCGGCCGGCGCGCGGGCCGCCTGCGCGCGGCCGAGGGCGAGAGGGACGCCTGGGAGGAGCGTGCGTCTGAGGCCCCGCCCCCGCGGTGCCAGCTGGGTCGGGAGCCGGGACCCTGGCTCCGCGACGCTGCTCTCCCACAACGGAGCCACGGCATCCTGGCAAATAAGCAGGCTCTGCCACCCCTAGAGCGCAGGGGCCAGGTCTGTAGGGATGGCGCTTTCCTGCCTGGGTCCTCGTACTGATCGCCCAGGCTAGCTAACCTGGCTTTTCTGTGGTTGATGCTCAACTTTGGGGACTTAGGACAGGTTTCTTGATTTCCCAGAGCTTCTCTTGGCTTGCCTGGGTGACTTGTCTTCAACTGAAATGCATCGAATACCAACTGCGTGCTCACCTCAACCCAAACACACACAGGCCCAAAGGGTTCTGACTCCTTGCTCCTCCGCGATGGCAGCAACTCTCAACAAGAAAAAACTTACCTTTTTGCTGATGTATTTTTCAGTAAATATGGGATGCTCTTTCCCACCTTTCAGTAGTGACACACATTATCTTCTAAGACCAACCTGAAACATTACCCTTCCTGACCAGCTCTGCCCTCCCACAGTACCCTGTATATGCCCTCTGTTTCAAATGCTTTTATGCATGATTTCCTTCTCGACCATGAGCTCTCTGATACCTGGGGTTGATCTCTTATCTTTGTATACTCCATAGTGAAGTGTGGTGCATGACACAAAGTAGGTACTCAGTCAATGTCTTCTTAATGGAAAATGATGGTAATCTGAAAGGAAGTGAGGTGGAGAGAGTGAAAGGGGAAAGGGGGAAAACGCTAACAAAAATGTGTTATTGAGCTGATTGCTTTAGTAGACAACTATTTTTAATCTTGCTGGAGACTCTTTGAAAAACAGGTTGGAATGCGCGCCTGCCGTGGTCCCACTGAAGGTCACGGAGGCTGGGGCCTTTATCTCCTAATTTCTGTCTCCATTGATTGAGGGTTACTTTCCACCTCCCCCTTTGAACTCCTTCACCTTTCCTGGTTATCCTTGCCAGGGCTGATCAGAGTTCTAGAGTTTGAGAGAAAGCCCTGAGGCAGAAATGCAGAGACGGACCAGAAAGCCTTCTAAGTAAGATTCTGGCCACATGCATGAAACTATCCATTCAACTGCATTAAAATCAGGGATAAGAATCTTCTACAGAAAGTTCCATGAAAATATCTATCAGAATTATCTCTCACATTTGAACAGGTTAAAACTCACAAGCCATGTCCACACAACTATCAAGATGAATATATATGTGCTTTCCACAGTCCTAATGACAGTTATGTAAAGGCTGTGAAGGTTGTGGGAATTTCTGAGTCAGAGGAGTCATTAAGGGCTAAGAAAAACAAAAAACTACATTAAGCATAGGGAGCTGGAAAAATAAAGAGAAATATTTGGGTCTACTTTGACTGACCTTATAGCTTTAAGATCTTGGGCAAATCACTTAAACTCATTGAGCCTCAGTTTCCTCTTCCAACAAATTGAGACAAAGGTCCTGCCTACCACAAAGAGCTGCTCTAAGACACAAATAGGGTGATGAATGAAAATGCATTTTGATGAGTATAAATCCAGTCAATGAAGAATCTAGCACAGTTTAGAATATTCACTTAAGCAAACATCCCCCATGCCTCTTCTAAGCCAGGCTCTGTGCAGGTGCTAAGGATTAAGAGACAAATATCACACTATTAAATTGAACCACATTGGTCAATTTAAATTTTAAGTAAAATTTAGAACTCAGTTACTTAATCAGAGTAGCCACTTTTCAAGTGCTCCATAGCTACATGTGGCTAGTGGCTACCGTATTGGACAACATATATATAGAACATTTCCATCACTGCAGAAAGTTTTGTTAGACAGAATTGATAGACAAATGCCTACTGGGCAAAGGAAATGAAAAGCCTGGAAAACCAGCTTGCTGACAGGACCAGGTTCAGTTCTCCTCTGTGTCAGCTATTCCTCAGGAAGCAGTGCAGGAGGGAGTATAGACTTTTCACTACTACTGGAGCCTCAGAGACTTCCCTTTGTTGTGTGAAATAGCACAGCATGGTGAGTGGGGGAAAAATGTCCCCCACATGAGCTCCTGGGATTTGGTTTCCCCGTGCTACCATTCATATGTCCCTTGGAGATCTGTCTTTCCCAGAGACCTCCTATGGTTTCTGTCTCTACAGAAAACACCCACCCACCACAAGGATGCCTTCTTTCAAGCAAAATATACCCTATAGGATTCACCCACTCCCTCCATAAACATTTATTAAAATGACACCTTCCATGTGCCTGTCCACTAAGTTAGATGCAGAGTGGAATGACAGCATGATTATAACTTAAATGGAATAAATATTTAGGTTATAATCACATTTTTATATGCACAAACATTCTCAAAGCAGCATTATGAAATTGGTATTAATATCCTCTTGTACAGAAGATGAAATTGAGGTTCAGAGAGTTTAAGTGACTTATGCAAAGTTTCAGGTAGAGAGTAGCAGACTCAGGGAAGGCTGAAATTATGCTAAGAAATGTATCTATGTATATCGAATATCATGTAGTTTTCACATAAAAAATACTGCACCTTTGAAGTTTAAAAACTAATTGGAAAGAAAGGATTAACGTGTACAAATTCAGTTTACAATTAATATCCAAACAATGTAAGAGCAATGATACAGGCATGCTCAGCAAAGTGGAGGAGCACCAAAGAGAGATGCTCTTGATGAGCATCTAAGAGGGCTTTCTGGAGGAAATGACCCTTAAGCTAAATATTATAGGATGAGGAGGGTCAGACAGATAAAAAATAAGGTAGGGAGAAGAGAGGAAAAGATACTTTTTAATCCAGTTTGTCATTTATATGTCTACTTTGCTTATGTTGGTCTGGTCACCTAAAAATGTTATCAGTCTTTTCTATTTGGCTTCTAACTTTTGTTTGCTTAAAAAAAATTGCACTATGCCAAGACTATAAAATAATTATTTTATGATTTCTCAATCTCTTAGGGTTACGTATTTTACTTTTACATCTTTGATCCATATGGAATTTATATTGGTGTAAGGTGGGAGATACAGATCCAACTTTATCTTTTCCATAGGGTTATCCTGTTGCCCAAACAACAGTTATTGAATAAACAGCACATTTTCTCTCCATTGATTTGAGGTATAACATTTATAATATATTTAATTCTGGTATATGTTTGTACTGATTCCTGGGCTTTCTATTCCATTTCATTAATATAGCTACAAATTCATGCACTAGTATTAAACTGTTTAAGCTGTTATAGCACTTTAAAATATTTGGTAGGACCAGTCTCACTTTGTATTAATCATGTTTTTAATTTTGTGTGTTTTATTATGTTCTGACATCTTGAAAAGCTTGTGGCCTGGGAAAAGAGAGTTCCTCCCAGTGCTAGCCAATTCTTAGCGATGGTAAATGTTCCACCAGTGGGAGCACATCTTCCATATGCAAACCAACCAATCCTGAGTCCATAACCCCAATCACATCTTTATCTAACTCTCCACCCAACCAAGGTACTCCCACCCCACCCCCAAAATAATCCCAGGGCCAGGTACCAAGCAGCTAGAGACCATTTCTATAGCCACAGCCCACCAGAAGTATTCAAAATAGCCAGTCCTAAATGTTTACTCTGCTCTACCTTGCATTTCTCACAGAAATCCCAATAAAGGCTTTGGCCTGGGATTTCCCTTTGCTCCTGTGTTCCGACACCTAACCAAAACCCGGTGTTTCTCCTGTGGCTCTTCCTGGCATAAACTTATTTCCAAGCCTTATTCTCATTTACTTCTGTGGCCATACCCACTTATTCATACCACATCCAACATTTATATTCTTAAGACACACTTGTTAATCTGCCCTTTAATAAACAGACTATTCTTGTTTACTCTTTCCATGTAAAATTTTAAATCAGCTTGCCTAATTGCAAAAAATAAAAAAAGAAAAGAAAAGAAAATAATAATAATAATGTTGCTGGTATTTTATTAGAATTCTGGTAAATTTATAGATTAATTTAGGAAGAAATGACATCTTTATGATATTGAGTCCTTTTATCCAAGTACATGGTATATCTTATCATCTGTTTAAGTCGTCTATGTCCTTCAGAAATACTTAACAAATTTTCTTTTGGAGACATCTCTGTCACTGAGGCTAGAGTGCAGTGGCGTGATCTCCATTCACTGCAACCTCTGCTTCAAAGTTTCAAGTGATTCTCCTGTCTCAGCCTCCCGAGTAGCTGGGACTACAAGCATGCACCACCGAGCCCAGCTAATTTTTGTATTTTTTTTAGTAGAATCTGGGTTTTACCATGTTGGCCAGCTGGTCTCAAACTCCTAATCTCAAGTGATTCGCCCTTCCAAAGTGCTGGGATTATACGCATGAGCCACCACACCTGGCCAAAAATTAGAATATTTTATATATTTTTTCATAATATGTCTTTAAAATCAGGTTTGTGTTTTACACTGACAGCATGTTTCAATCTGAATTAGCCACATTTCAAGTGCTCAGTAGATACATATGGCCGGCAGCTACCATATTGGACAGCACAGGTCTAAACACTCCAATTAAAAGGCAGAGATTGACAGAGTGAATTGGGGCGGGGGGAGGAATGGGGAAAGCAAGACCTAATTCTATGCTATATACAAGAAATTTACTATAAATATAAAGATATATATAGGTTAAAGTAAACAGATGAAAAAACAGACTGTACAAACTTTACTAATCCAAAGAAGACTAGATTAATATCAAAGTAGACTTCAGAACAAAATATATTGCTAAAAAGGTTAAAGACGACATTACATAATTACAGAGATCTTTTCAGCAAGAAGATGAGTAACATCATTCTTAATAATGAATTACTGAATACTTATGATGTAAGGCCTAAAAATAACATTATATGCTGCCTTCACATCTACAGGAGGGCCTGGAATTACCTAACCACAAGCTTTCCTCCCCATTCTCCTCACACAGATAAGGCCCCCAAGTCAAACAACCCTACTTATC